ACGGCACATAACAACAACAACAACATGTTGAGATATCCATATACCTATATGTTGTCATAGCTGGAAAATGACTAGGGATGGTAGAAGAAGAATTGATTGCTTTGGGCTGTGGTGGTAGAGATGAGTATTGAATATACCATGGACTGTTAGGAGAATAAATAGGTTCATCCTGGAGAGGTTGAGACCAGGCTGCTCCTTCGAAGCAAGGATTCTGAAGCTCTGTTTGACATACTTTGGGTATGTTGCAAGACAACACCAGTCCTTGGAGAGGAACACCATGGTTAGGAGGAGGGAGGGACAGCACAAGAGAGGAAGACCTTTGATGAGATGTATTGACTCAGTGACTGGGGTAATGGAGGCAGGTGTGTCAGAGACAATAAGGTTGGCTCAGGATAGAGCAGGCATCAGAGTTATTATATATAGGATCACCATGATTCGCTAGCAACTTGGCAGAATACAACAACAACATGTTTTTGTTGTTATTTTGTATCATCTAGTCAGACCTAAGCCATTGCTGACCCTTCAGAGAGAGTTCAAAGAATAAATCTCACAAGAAATGATTGTCCATCCTTCTCCCAAGAATCAGTTAGTTGGTGGATTCAAACTGCGTGCCTTTGGGATTGCAGGGCAGTTTCTTCCTACTAGGTCCTCAGAGCTCCATATATACCTATATAGCTATATTTGCATGCATCTCTCTCTAGATACAATATGTTGCTATTCTTGTTAAGTGCCGTCAAGTCGTAGATGACTCACAGCAACCCTATGAACAAAAGGCCTGAACACTTGTATAACGTTCATCTTTTCTTTAATTTCATAGTTTTTCCAGAGGCAAGCTATTTCAGAAGTGTATGCCACTCCTGTTTCTAATATAATATAGATAGATATATAGCTACATATATAGGAGCTCTGGCAGCCTAGGTCCACAATTCAAACCCACCAGCTACTCTGTAGGAAAAAGATGGACAATCCTTCTACGTGATTTACTGACTCTACAAACCCACTAGATGGTGTGTTACAAGTCAGTTCCAGCTCAACAACATACAACAATCATATATATACACACACACACAACTCATTGCCGCTAGCCTATATATAATGTGTGTGTGTGTGTGTGTGCGTGTGTGTGTGTGTGTGCGTGTTTAAGAATGTTTACTATAAATATTATCTACTGTTTATTAGAATGCGGTTCCTATCCATACTCCACATCTCTCACACGGACAGTGCTCTATTTTTCCACATTTTGGTTAATGATGGAAGTGACAAGAAAGGGAAAGTCAGGCAGGGGTGAGTGCTCTCTGGCTTGGATTGATTCTTTGTGTTCTTCTCTCTCAGTATTTCCGAGGAAGCCTCTGTCAGAGCCACCAGACCTACTGCCTGAATTATACAGCAGCTGTCTTCTATCTTGAGAGCCTGAGGCAGAGAGATGACTTTGGAATCTATTTAAAAGTAAAGTACCATTTTCTTTTCTTTTGTGTTTTTATTGAAATCCTTTGGGACGATCAGCTATAGGGAATTAGTATACTCTAATTAAGTGTGAAAAACAAAATATAAAAATAAACTTTAAGCTTTTCTCATACATTATCCATTGCAAACTTCTGAATTTAAATAGTGCATACTTGGAAACTTTATATTATCCATTGCTGCTGGATATTGTTAAGTTGATTCTAACTTAAAGCAAACCCAAGCAACAAAGCCATTGTTGCTATTTGGTGTCATTGAGTCAACCATGATTCATATGAATAACAGATTACAACCTTGACCTCTTCTGTTTCATCCTCATGATCTCACCATGCTCAAGTCCATTGTTGCAGTCACTATTCAAGAGACTGTACTATAAAAGAAGGAGATAGACCTGCCTTGCTTTCAAAGAGCTGCTGGCTGGGTTTGGACTACCAATCTTTTAGCTAATAGATGAATGCTTACCTATCATGCCACCAGGGCTCCTTTTATTACCTGATACACCTTTTGAAATTTTAGCTAGAGCTTAAGCCTGCTTTGTTTGGTTAATTTATGGCTGGAACCGTAAAAATCCAACAGTAAGAACCTAGGTTTCATGTTATTAGAATTTTGGCCCTTCTCATGTTAGTAAAATTTGTCCCCAATCTGCCTTACGCAGATGACACAACCTTGTTTGCTGAAAGTGAGGACTTGAAGCACTTGTTGCAAAAGACCAAGGAATTCAGCCTTCAGTATGGATTGTGTCTCGATATCAAGAAAACAAAGATTCTTACCACTGGACCAAGAGGCAGTGTCATGATGGATGGAGAAGAGATTAAAACTATCAACAGCTTCATCTTGCTTGGATCCCTTGGCACGAGCAGTCAGGAAATAAGGAGACACATTGCATTTGCAAATTCTGCAATTAGGAATCTTTCCAAATTATTGAGGAGTAATCCACTTCCGAAATAGCTTGATTCCAAAAACCCCATGAACTTGGAGAAAGAATGAAAGTTTTACAAGGTCCTTCATTCATAGGGTCGCTATGAGTTGTCTATGACTCAATGGCCTTTAACAACACCACTGTCAATTTGAGGACTAAGGTCCATCTAACTCAGGCTATAGTCTTTCTGATTACTAGCTATTCATCTGATACCTGGGCAATGAATAAGGATGACAGAGAAAGAATTTACTTCTTTGAGCTGTGGTGTTGGAGAAGAGCACTGAATATCCACCCCATGGACAGCCAGGAGAACAAACAGATATGTCTTGGAGAGAGTGTAGCCAAAGGGCTCATGGAGGCAAGAATTTTGAGGTTTCACCTCACATACTTGAGACATGTTGCTAGGAGGTGCGATTCCTTGGAGAAGGACTTGATGTTGGGAAGGGTAGAAGTTGGCGAAGGAGAGGAAGACCCTCAACCAGGTGGATTGATACGGTGACTGCTGCAATGGGCTCTTGTGTGTCAGAAAGAGTTGAGTATGGAGCAGGACAGGACAAGGTTAAGATCTTTTGTTCATAGGGTCACTCACTTTGAGTTGTGCTTGACTTGATGGCACCTATCATCATCAACAACAACAAAACCATGTTAAGATGCTCTGATCCAGAGTGTAGAGTATGTGTTCTGCTATCCAAAAGGTTTCATATCTCTGGTGGTTTAAATCCACCAACCTGTCCTCAGAAGAAAGATGGGCAGTGTGATCTCTGTGAAACGCACAACCTCAGATACCCTACGGATGGTCACTGTGAGTCAGGATCCCGGCAGTGTGCTGGTGAGTGAGAAAGCCCTGTTGTACCACTTAAATTGGCATTTAAAGGAATGATGCCCCTGGGAAGACAAGCAAAATGTAAACAGTGCCCCTGCAGTTCATGCAGCCTTGTGGCTCCAGCTCACAAAGTGTTGGAAGAAAGAATTTCTGCTCAGGACTTCTAGCTCAATGGCACCTCACAACAAACAACAAATAGTCAAGTCTGGAGCCAAATGTCTCTGCCTTCCCCAGCTCCATTGACACCCATGTTTCTTTAGCCCACACTATAACTTTGCAATACTAGGCTAACACATTTCATCAGAGCATCCATCACCTCAGAGGCTAGGAAGAGAGGCTTCCTCTGCACCCAGTGACCATAACCTTGTGGGTCTTTGCCTCATCTCTATCAGCCTGGAAGCCTGGCTGTGGTGTGAATGATAATTGAGGGCTCACCCTGGGACAGAAACTTGACCCTATTTTTTGTGCCTTCAGCTCTTCAATGCTTGTACCCCATACTAAAATCTGAAAGCTGTTACATTTTCTAATGTGCAATTAATCCTCTTGTAAAAGTTGTCCCTGGAAAGCTAGACTAGACTGCAAGCCAAGCCCCCGAACTGGGTAGAATCTTCTCTCCCTTCCATTGTAGTTGTTGTTCCCGATGCTTTCATGTCTGTCTGATTCACAGAGGCGCAACGTGACAGTGTAGAGCTGCCCCAATAGAGTATTCAAGGCTGTGAGTTTTACAGAAGCAGATAAGGAGGTCTTTCTCTTCAACTCTGTGCAACTAGAGTCTCTTTCCAAGCTTAGGTGTGAGAGGACTTCAACAGGGCTCAGTCTCTGTTTTCAAACAAGGTGGAAAATTGCAAATCAGTTGTGAGAAGAAAGTGTTTACATTCTTAAATGTAATACACACACGTACACAAGATATTGATGGGGAGAGAGTAAAAATGCAATGCTGTAATGGTAGCAGATAATATGTTTCTAAGGCGTTACACTTTATGAGGATCTCTCTCAAACGCCTTCTTCAATCCTTAGCACAACCTCATGACATAGATTACACTGTCACCACGTGTCCTTGGGGCTCAAAGAGGTGGAGTGATGATTACAAGGTCACACAGTCAGTAAGTGCTAAAGAAAGAACCTAAATCAAGATGAAAAACTCCCACTTTACAAAACAGAAAAAGTTAGAGGATGTCCAGCTACCAGAACCAAAACATTTTGATCAGAGATTCCATAAAATATAATCCTAATGTAAAGAGACAAACTACAGAATAGAATTTCAAATTCTCATGGACTCCAAACATTCTGGAACCTTGGAGGGTAAATGAACCCTTGAAGCTATTGCCTCCTTAGACTAAGCTTAGACTAACTTTAAACCAAAAGTATGTCTTGAATTCATCTTAGAACTAAATCATGTTGGTGTTATGTGCCATCAAGTATGACTTCTAGCGACCAGATGAACAACAGACCTGAACTCTGTCCTCCCCTGTGTTGTGCTCATCATCTCTGATGTACTTGAGCCCCTTGTTGGCCTTTTCTAGTCTCATAGCCAAGCAGGCAGTCACTTGTGGAGGCAATTGTTGACACATTCCACATCCCCTTTCTAAATTCTCCTTCTTCCTCTATTGCTCCAGGTGAAGAGACTCCAGTTGTGAAGCCTTGGATGGCTGCTTGCAAGCTTTTAAGACCCTAGCAATACACAATGTACTAGGAGGTAGAAATTGTGGTTGTTATGTGCTGTTGAGTTGCAACTGACTCATAGCTGATCCTCCAGTGGGTTTTCAGAGTTAATTGGTAAATTGCATGGGAGGAGACTGCCCATCTTTTTCTGGGAAGCAACTTGTATATTTGAACTGCCTGCCTTTGGGTTGGCAGTGCAATTCCTTACCACTAGACTACCAGAGAGACTCACTGAACATATTTTTAGACTCACTGGCTGGGATGTTGCATGAAATCACAAGGCTAAATTTCAATGCCAAAGAATCAAATCTCATAAGTTGTTTGAATTTGAGCCATTTCAGAAGCTACTCCTTTTGCTGTTGTAAATTTATCTGTCATATAACTTTGCCAACTAAATGTCTTAAAATACTATAGCTTGTTGAGATCAATTTCACTAATGAGCTGTGTGACCCTACTGTGACTCTAAATGTCATTTTCCCATAGCCATTAATACACTCTCCCAAACCATTAGTGACTGCTAATAAACCTTATTCTCTATTACTACAAAAACCAAAAACTCTAATTCTTTCTACCTCAAAACTTTTTCTTATTCCTTCCTCAGAGCTATTATTCCATTTTTAGAGAATTATTGACATTAAAAAAAAACACAACCAAAAACAAATGCACAAAGGTGAAGGGTCTGGGAAAGATTTAAAACCATGATGATTGAAAAGAAATCTGCCTTCTCCATTCTCATCATACAGAGTAAGGAAACCCCATGTACAGTAGTACTAAAAGTGCTAATGAATAACACTAATTGTAATAGATTTATATTCTTATTGTGTATATTTTATTGTATATAATATATAGTCATATATGTAACAATAATAATAAAAATAATTTTTTTAAAGAGTAACACCACAGATAATAAAAGGTAACTGTTTCTGGACCCTCCACCACAGAGGGGGCACTGTGCTTCCTGTCATGTGACCCTAATCTTTTCAACTACACTGGAGAGAGGAGGGTGACATTACCTTCATTTTTTTAGAGATTAATTATTGGGGGACAGAAATGAGATTCAAATTCAGGCCTAATGGCAATATTCATTCTGTTATAAGCTCTGCTATATACAATGTTATTGGAGAACTTAAGTCTGTGTTCTGTCAACTCAACTCTTTCTCACTGAGTCAGAACAAACTCAAAGTTCAACCTCTAGCAAATTTTCAGAGGCTATAAAACACACTGGAGGAAATTTTCCATCTTTCTCTTTCAGGGCAGTTGGTGGATTTGAACTTAATACTTTAGGTTGGCAGCACAACTCTCTGACCACTAAGCCACCAAATCTCTCCCTATATCCTCTAATGGGCTAATGAAAGTACTAGGAGGACCATCCTCCATGCCTTATGGAACTGGGTGCTATGAGTGTGTGTCCATTACTGTGGTACACAAGCTGAAAGAACTCCTTCTGATATCCCAGAGACAAGCTACAATCCTTCGTACCATGTCACTGAGTGTGACTCAGCTAACATTTCCAAGATTATTAGTAGTTACCATAATGGACTGAGAACTTGCTTACCTGCCAGGCACTGTTTTAAGCACTTC